TTTTAGCCTCTGTTTTTTTCAAATAATTCTTGTTGGGAAATTTAATGCTTTTGGATTTACGATAGATGTGGTTCCCTTGGAAGGTCACATGATGCCTCTGATTATGTCTCCTATGTACAAAATTGATGGATTTGAAGCACATGGGCTCTGTCAATTGACTTGGAATAATGGTAGCACAAATAGATAATTCTTCCGTGAGTAAGAGTATAATCATGTCGATTATATTTTGTCTCGGAATTCGAACACTCAATAGCATTTAAAAAAAAAAAAAAAATTACAAACACAAAGCAAGAACATCTCCAATGTCCTCTCAAAGGGTCTCTTAAAGTCAAAATATAGTAAGTAGATAAAAATAATACACTCCAACAGACTCTCGAAAGATCTCTTATATTTTAAGATTATCAAAAGTAGTGCCATATATAACAGCTCTCAAAATTTTTTGAGAGGTTTCTTTTTTGTTATTCGGTGCTGTCTCTCAAAATATAATAGTTGGATGGAAATAATACACTTCAAATAGTGTTTAGAATAAAATATACCATTAAAGCAGAATTACTAAAATATAATATTTTGACACTGTAACTTCTATCAAAATATAATTTTGACATGAAAGAATATATAACATTTTACATTAGAAATGCTCTTAGAGTGCATGTTAACTTTGGATCAAAATATTAAATTTTCCTTCAAAATTGTCATCCACGGCCCATAATAATAATAATAATAATAATATTATTATTATTATTATTATTATTAATAATGTAGATAAGATGGTTCTATAAAGGTCCTATTGTCCAAGGATCTATTTTATTTCACTGGCCAGAAAAATACTCACACACAAATCATTCAGATTGTTTGCTGAATCAATCTGAATCTGTAGAAGACGAGGTTGGCCTTACGTTGTGGAGAGTTCGAAAGTATGTTAGAGGGAGATAATTGAAAAAGTGAGGTGTTTGGTAGATTCTTGATTATTCCAAAAGGATGGATGAAATCGGAGTGAGGAAAGTTAGAGGAAAATGGGGAGGAATTGAAAAATGTAGGCACGGTGGAAAGAAAGTGCTAGAGTGGGTGTAAGTGGGGACGAAGCCCGTATGGTTTTTATATATATTTTATTTTACACACACACACACACATATATATAAATTTTTTTATATAATTATTTCTTAATTTTTTTAATTTATTTTTTCATTTACTCTTTAAATTTCTTTTTAAAAAATTATAATTTCCATATTAAATTAAATTAAATTTTTTTTTTTAAGTTGTCATTTTTCTTAATTTTTTTATTTTTTCTTATTTTTTCCTTTCTAGTTCTTTAAATATATATATATTTTTTCTTAGCACCGCCCCCTAAGGTAAACTAAAATGGGTGTAAGTAAAGATTTGTTTTGTTCATGTATACATATGATGACATAATGTGTTGTTACGTATGATATGTTAGGTAGCAATTAGCCAGACATTTTAGAATTCTTAATTATACTTGTTCAAAATTGTATAAAGCTATATAAACTTGTATAGAACTTTTAAGATAAATCTATACATATATTTAGAGTATTATAAAACACAGAATTCTCTAATAATCTAAAAGGCGTACTATAATTGGATTGAGGACATCTGCATGGATTTGATAGAGTTGCTTGTCTATAAATAATGTCTGGATTACACGAACACTTCAAAACCCAATCACATCACACATGTATATTTACACACCTACATATTAGTATACTGACATGTTATCAATTGGCAAGTTAAAATTATTATTAATTATATTAACTATAAATAGAATACAATTATGGAAACAAACACAGTTTCACCAACATTATATACACAAACTCAAAACTATAATCTATATATGATACCCAAAATATATTACCCATCATTTCCAGTATTTATCTCTTGTCGAGGTAGGAATGGTGTGTATTTAGGCTTTTTCTCATTTGATGAATCTGTACATTATTACTAGATGATGGGATGAACAACATTATTTAAGACGAATATTGCCTATAACTGATAATTACAATTATTATAATCAGAACACTTAATTCTATCTTTAATGTTAATTGTCATAGCATTCAAATGCACATGCCAGTTCCCGAAGGTCAGAAAAGTACTCTCACGGACAGTTCATTCAGATTGTTTGCTTATGTACAAGTACATTCATCATCATTATTATACGTCCTATTTGAAGAATATGTAGAACACAACAACTAAAACAATCTCCAAAATCTAAAAGTTATTAAGTAAACAAAACTATAGGCATATTCCCCAAAACTACAGAACTGAAGCTTGTTTCTTAACAAATGACATTGAGATTTAGAGAGAACGAGGGAGAGACATGAACAAATTGAACTCATGAAGTATAAAAGTTGTCATTACACATTTCAGTAGTAAACTCAAACAAGTGTCCGGAGCAAAATCTGGCTTTGATCTTTCTAAAGCAATTCATAGATCAAAATGAATCTTTTGTAGATATGCACTTTAACAAGCCCGTGTTCTTGGTGATCGAGGTGGTTCGTCTGTTGGTGATCCAATGCATCCATGAATCATGTTGGAGCCTGCGTTACCCGCCACTTTCAAGGCTTTTAGCTAAAAGCAAGTTAATCAAATCACAATCCATCTAAGAAGATGTAGTTTTAACCTCATCCAGCTTTTCATGGAAAATCAGCTCCACTTCTCTGCGCAAACTCTCTACATCCACCACATAATCTCTCTGCTCTTCCTCAACCATTAACTGCTGCCTCAATCCACAGACTGCAAAAAGTAGTGCTTCATTGATCTGGTTTTCTTGCAAGGTCCGGTCTTGTGGATGACTTTGATTTATGTCTCCTTCCTCCGTATATAATTGATGGATTTGAAGTACATGGGCTGTCAATTGACTTGTAATTATAGTAGCACACAGAGAATTGGTAAGTACACAATTTGAGCAGAGCGTTACCAATAGACATTAGCTTTAATAGTATGACCTCTCTTCCTTCCTTATGCTTTTATATAATTTTTTTTTTTTTTTTTTCTTTACTCAAAAGTTCATGCAAACACACATCATTATATTTTGTTTTGGAATTTGGACTCGAACACTCAAGCTCAACTAATCCTTTAGAGAAGAGAGCATGGATGGAGCCAATTAGGGCCGGGAAATGTGCCACCCAACTTTTTAAAAATTATATTTTTGTATGTATAATTTTTTAAATTTTAAAATTGTCCTCCTCAATTTTTAAAAATTACATTTTTGTATGTATAAATTTTTAAAATTTTAAAATTACCCTCTCTTAATTTTTTTAATTGTATTGTGGCCTAAACATAATTACTGGCTCAAGAGAGGTCATACCATCTGAAGTGTTGATTAGTGAGAGACTTGGCACAGTTCTCTCCTCCTATAAAAACGCTTCCATGGTTATATTGGTTAGATAATGAGTTCCAACACTTAACAACTCTATAGTTATTTAGGTTGGACAATGAGTTCCAACTTCCATCACCTAATTTATATATTTGCGTAGTATATATATATCTTGGTTGATAATTAATGAAATGTTAAACTAATTAATGTTTAGTGTGTATTAAAATTGAAAAACCCAATCTTCAGAGAAAAGCGAAGGCAAAAAAATTTTGAGCAATGAAATTAATCCTTGTGTTCGGAGTACACCAACAACTCAAAATTTTGAAAATAAACTCGATCAACATTATTACAATGATCGTCCCAGTAGAGTTACTGTCAATCGTTTGGAACTTGACTATGGGAATAGGCTTGTTGACGCCAAACCTCAATGCCCTGATCTTATAGGATGCTCCTAAAAGAAATTTAATGCTTGGACTAATAAAGAAAGTTCTTCAAAACAGAAAGCTAGAGTGCATTGTTTAACCTTTGGCATCAAAATACTAGTTTTTTCTTCAAAATTGTCATCCACAGCCCAGAATCAATTGTTTGCCAAATAAGTAGAAGGGAAGACCAGGTTGGCCTTACACAATCACTAAGCTTTCAACTGTGGTGGAGAGTTCAAATTTATGTTAGGGGGAGATAATTGGAAAAGTGAGGTGTTTGGTAGATTCTTTACTATTCCAAAATGATCGATGAAATCGGATTGAGGAATGTGAGAGGAAAAAGTGGTAGAGTGGGTGTAACTAATGGTTTGTTATGGATGAATTACCAAAAATAAATAAATAAATAAAATGGTTCTATTGCTTGTAATTAAGGTCATAAACGTGCTAGGCAGCCATTACTAAGACATTCTGTATAAACTTGTACAGAACTCTTAAAGAGCAATCTAGCATATATATATATACTTGTGATAGTTTGATGGAGGACATGGGTATAGATTTAAGCAACGTGTTGTGTCTATAAATAGTGTGTCAATTAGGGGAATACTTTAAACTAAATTGTTATCAATTAGCACATGTTACAATTATCCACAACATTATATACACAAACTCAAAATTAGGATGATTCCTAACTTAGGAGTCCGGATCCCGATAGAATTCTAATACATTTTGTATTGTAATGTATTGGAAATTGGAATAAAGATATGCTTGATCAATCCATCTAATTATATTTTTATAATTAATCTAATTATCCGTAAAAGAAAACTTTATTAATTAATCTAATTATCATATCATTCATTCAAGATGTCGATGAAAAACCGTAATTTAAAAAGCAAGCAAAACTCAAAACTCAAAACTCTTTAAAAAGCAAGCAAAACTCAATACTCTTTAAAAAGCAAGCAAAACTCAGTACTCTTAATCAAACTCATCATGAAAAAGTAACGGACCTATCTTTAATCTTAATTGCCTTCATTTACAAAATGGGTTTTCACAATGAGTAGACTAAATATTTTCAACACCTTCAAGCTGTCATGGTATCCAAAGGCGCATGTCGGTTCCCCAAAGCTTGAAAAGTACTCACATTCAGATTGTTTGCTGATGTACTAGGTACATACATCATCATTATCATCCGTCCAATTTGCAGAATATGTAGAACACTAACAACTACAACGACATCCAAAACCCAAAAGTCATCAAGAAAACAAACTTTAGGTATACAAAATTCCCCAAAACAACAGAACTGAAGCCTGTTTTTTAACAAATGACAATGAGATTTAGAGAGAATGAGGGAGAGACATGACATGAACAAATTGAGTTCATGAAGTATAAAGTTGTCGTTACACATCAGTAGTAAACTCAAACTCAAGTGTTAGAGCAAAATCTGGCTTTGATCTTTCTTAAGCAATCCATATCTCTTTTGTACAAATGCCTTTTAACAAGCCGACACAAAGTCATTAGCTTTGTGCTCAATGTGTTGCCCATGTTCTTGGTGATCGAGGTGGTTCGCCTGTTGGCGATCAAATGCATCCATGAATCATGTTGGAACTTGTGTTACCTGCCACTTTCAAGCTTTTAGCTAAAAGCCAAGTTAATCAAATCGCAATCCATCTAAGAAGATCTAGTTTTAACCTCATCTAGCTTTCCATGGAAAATCAGCTCCACCTCTCTGCGCAGGCTCTCTACATCCACCACATAATCTCTCTGGTCTTCATCAACCATTAACTGCTGCAACTGCTGCCTCATCCTATCCAATGCCCTGTCCAGTCCGCAGAAGTCTTTGAAAACTAGAGCATCAGTTGCCCTGAGCCGTAAGAGATTCTTAATTGCAGCAAGGGCCTGCAATGCATCACATCAGCAACACAAATTAGCAGATTGCAAAAAGTAGAGCTGTTCTCACCATTCCATGATGATGTGCAGTGTGAAAAAGCACATACAAAAAATATTAGTCATCCATTTAAACTTCGGATCTCAAGAAAATTATAGGAGTCCCTGAACCACATTAAATCTGTACTACTTTTGACCGTTTTCTCCACTTAAGGAGGTGTTTTAACCTTACATGTCAAATTAGCATGGATGACAAATATTTGGTATTTGCACACAACTTCACAACCACAGCAAAATATTTCAGTAGTGTAACGACAAGGCTGATGCTAACAAAACACCTTTTCCTGGAGATCAAGGTCAGTTGATGCTGTTAAATCAACCACAGACTTCAAGAAGAAACGATTGCTGAAAAAAGGTAGCTCTGCTTTATTTCTAGTTTCTAATTGACATTCTGCCAGATCAGCCACAAGAAACACAGATTTCCTCCGCAGTCTGATATCAATGCTTGAGTTGCTCAGTATGTCCTACAAGGCAAACCAATGATTGCATCTGTCAGCCCCATGCAAATACTTTAACTGCTATTTTATACATTCTTGACTACGTCACCTGTACCATCAAGTCTCCAGCTTCTGCATAAAACAATTCTTGGCCATCTAAATTGTTTCTGATCAAGGCAGAGACAGCATATAACGCCTTTATAGCTTCTTCAATAAAACTAGCTTTTACCATCTTCATTAGCTTCGGCAATGCACCGAGTTCCAAGACCTAAGACCCTCAAGTCTTATACATCAGATATTGTTCATGTGAATCTCACAGATACAAATATACAATACAAAGAAAATAGAATATAAAAGATAGAACTAAATATTTAAGATGTGTCTTTTTATTAACAAAAAAAAAAAAGAAAAAGGGAAAAAAAAAAAATGCATATCAGCAAACCTGCTTCTGAACAACAGGGTTATTTTGACTGGCTTTACCAAGAATCCATGCAGCAGTTTTCCTTATTTCTGGATCGTCATTATTAAGCTCTCCTATTACAACGGCAAGGCCACCTAGTTTGTGCAAATCTGACAAAACAAAAACAGCATTATGCCAAGCTGCTTACTGACTAGGAAAAGAACATGCATGCACACTTGAGCAAAATTCAAAATTCAGGACACCAAACTCAGAAAAGACCCATCTCAAAACATCTGCAGAACAGTGCCTAAACAGAAAATGTATCATCGACACTTTTTTAACGATATAAAAAACTACCTATTAAATTTCTTGGAGAAGGTTTACAACCGCATAAAAGTTCTATGATAATCATTCAACACAATCTGATGGCATAAAGTATGTGGGTACTGGACCACACTCTAAGGGCTCGTTTGGTAACCGTTTCTGTTTTCATCCGAAGCAGAAACAACGTTTCTATATTTGTGATTGGAAGCATGTTTGGTAATGTAAAATTTGTTGCAAGATTTTTGGAAGAAAAAACATGAAAACATGTTTGGTAAAAAGTGTTGCATGATTGAGTAACAAAATAGCAAGTGAAAAAGGCTTGCTACAGTGTTTTGTACTGTTTACTAGCTGCTACAGTGTGAAAACATTATGAAACACCAATTTGGTGTTTCTGATTTAGGCCTCTCTTTTCAGCAACAAATTGGGTACCATTCAAAATGGCAACAACCGGTTACAAAACGTGTTTTGGTGTTTCGTTTCACTACAGTACACCACCCGCAACGCAAAACACGCCACAAAAACAGTTTCCAAACAGGCCATGAACTTACAATTGCCCCTTTATCACAATTTCTTTGTAGGCTTTTATACTAGCAAAAATGTGATATCCGATATCCAGGATATATAGAGCATTGTATCTAAATTAGATCCTGACTCGGATTAAGACATCTCCCTTAGCCCCATTTCTGTCAACCCAAGACCTGATCAAGTTTAACCGCCCAAACTTGCCCAACAAATCCTCCCCCTTGCCATCTGAGTATGAGTCCTTAAAAGCTATTTCTTCAAAACAAACTATTGACTACAAATTCTTAGATGCAAACCCAGTTGTATCCAAAAATAATAATGGTATAGTAACAATACATTTCTACTAGTTAATTAAGAAAAATGATACATCCTCTAAATTCGGAAGATGTCGAGTGGGTGTTGTGTGAGTGGGCGTGTGGGCCCCACCACACAACATGACCCTGACATCATGTGGTGGGGGCCCACACCCCCACTCACATTCCCCTATTCGGCATCCTCCGAATTCGGAGGTGTGTATCATTGCTCGTTAATTAAATAATGCCAAAAAAGATTTATTTTCTGTCTTTTGGGTTAAGTTCCGACTATTTCAGATTAAGACATAACATAACACAAGTGGAAAGCGCACACATGCATGAAAAAATTTCTATTCAGATTGATTTTTGATTTTTATCTAAGGGCTAATTTCATAAAACCCCCACTACTTTCAAATTTTGATCATAAATACCCAACCTATTTCAGAAAACCTCCTACACTTTAAAAAGTTAACCCAATGCCCCAATATCCGTGTCCAACCCGTTAACCGGGCTGTGAAATGAAAATTTGACCTTACTATTTAATTTTAAATTTAAAACTGAAAATTATTTTTTAAAGTTACAAAAATACCCTTTAAACCTTTATGTATCTCTCTCCACTAATCACTTTCACTCCATCTGTAATCTCTCTCTCTCTACAACCCAACCCGCCAAACATAAAAAACACACAGCACACACCTCTTGGATCATTTCCACTCAAAAATATAATCAAGATTTGGTGTATTTCAATGGCCATAACAGCACAATGACAGACTTTGACAGACCCCACCGGACCGGAAGTTCAGCAGCGAGCTCTTCATCTGCTTCACCTCTCACCTCTCGTCATCTTCGTCTTCCACCTCTCACCTCGCCGCTTCGTCTCTCCAACTCCCTCAGCCGGAGACTCAGAAGCAATGGAAGCATGAAAGGAGGGCAAGCGTTACCGATGTTCCCCACCTCTCACCTCGCCGCGATCTCCGCCTTCAAGTTCAATTCAGGTGTTGTGGTTTCCTTGGGCCCCTTCCTTATTTTTGGATTTTGCTTAATTCATTGTTCAAAGGTGAGACCGTCGTGAAATTGCCCTTCGTGCTGGCTCGAATCATGCAGAAGATAAGCCACAGAGGGTTGCACGGGCCTCAGGTTCAAATAGCCCTTTGTTCCGATTCTAATCCCATCAATTTCAGTCACCTGCTTTGGAGAATTTGCAGTGATGATACACACACACACACACACATATACGTAGTAGTTTTTTTTTTTTATAAGTAAAAAAATATCATAAAAAAGTGCTCAAGATATATATATACATATAGTATTTGTATCTATTCACTTGTACTTTTGTTTGTCCACATGTAGATTAGGGTTAGAGTTTTTGATTGAACATTTGGGTCTGAAATTCAGCTGTCTATTTTCGTGCCGGTCCTCTTGTTCGTCAGCGGCGGTCAGAGACCAACAAGGTGAAAGTGATGAATCGGGGAAAATAATTGGAAATTTGCAGTCACTGAAAATTGATGGATAATTAAGTGATGAACACAAAGAAATGAATTAGATGCCGAAATATCACCAGCAAGAGTAGAAGTGAGCAGAAAAGTCATGATCGCTGCCGGTAGCAAAATTGAAGAGGTGATATTGGGATTGGGGGTGGAGGTTGGTTTGTTGAGGTGTGAAGAATGACCGAGAGGGAAGCCATTGAAGAGGGTAGTGGATAAGGTGTTGGGTTTTTTTGTAATTTTAATAAAACAATTTTTAGTTTTTAATTTAACATTAAATAGTAAGGTCAAATTTGTCATTTCACCACCTGGTTAACAGGTCGGACACGGATATTGGGGCAATGTGATCACTTTTTATAGTGTGGGGGGTTTTCTGAAACAAGTTGGGGGTTTATGATCAAAATTTGAAAGTAGTGGGGGTTTTATGGAATTAGCCCTTTATCTAATTATTAATTCCCAGTCTCTATGCATTGCAATTTTTGTAAAACAATTCTATAATATTAAATATGCTGACGCCAAAAGTCAAAATAATCTCAAATTCAGCCAACATAAATATTAGAGTAAAGAAGCATATGACCAAATAATAACGGTACAATGAAGATAGAAAATCTAAGGCTAGCAACCCTATGACAACAACCTACATATAAAATCTATTTAAAACTGCTGCCTCAAACAAATACAATCCATGCAGTAAGATGTGATAGTCTAGGACCTCTAGACTATATACATCAAAGAACATAAGCTATATGGTGCATAAAAATTAGTAGACCAGCAGGTGCCATTTATGAATTTTTTTGGATGGCCCTAATCATTCATAAATTGAACTGCTATCTCTGCTTGGACATTAAATGCCCAGACATTTCTACACACAAAAAGAAATTGAAATGATGTATCATCATTTTAACAGATGACAGGTGAACACCAGGGAAAATGACCCTTTCCTGAGGCACCTATGCAAGAATAGCATTTTGGCACCAGAATATGGGATATATATGGACATACCATTTGCATTATCTATTGGCTCAACAAGTACCAAAAGCTCTTGTAATGCGCGATGACGATCTTCCAAAGCCAGAGATGAATTATTCAAGTCATCTATTGCAATTTGCATCAATTGTGCATCTGATGGAGTTTTTAACCTCTCCATTAGTTCCTGTGTGAGCACAAAGAAGACGATAAAGTAATCAACTAATCATAATGAACAAGGATATACATGCAAATTAGGAACATAATATATAAGCAATTAACGTTTTAGTTATAACAGGAAGATGAAACAGTGTGATGTGTTTGCCTGTCTAAATAGATTGTATCATTCATGTCAAGTCCACATGGAGAATTACAAGCATCAAACACATTTCAGCACATTAACGTAAGGGACTGCCCCCCACCACAAAAACAAATCACTAACTGCCACCCACACGCAGAGAGTTCCTTACAGGGGTCCCCACTAGGAGGGCATCATCTTATTAACAGGTATTCCATAAGAGCCATAAGATTCAGGATTAGCTTTAAGCCTTTATCATATATATGAATCTCAACATATGCAAGAAGTTACACATAAAGGATTCACTCTCTCAGGAGATTCTCCAACAAAATTAGTTTCAACACAATCAAGATATCCTTAAAAAAAAAAAAGAAAGAAAGAAAAAAGGACTCAAGACAGGGCGACATGCACTAATAAAAAAATCAAATAGAATAGTCAGATTAATTTTAATCATTACAAGGTCCATCAAAGAATATTGGCAAAGAAAGCGAAACCCTTAATCATTGTCCAAACTCCCAACCCTGCGATTGCTGTTGGAACTTGGCACTCTGCTAATCATATGCTTGAGATTAATGATATGGTGCCTTATTTACAAGCAGAGACTAAATGGTCTTCTAGATCAACCGAAGACGGAACTGTCACTTTTTTCTCAATGAGGAGCTACTACTTCTATTCCTTTTATAGGGCATTTTCCCCACCTATATTGGGATTTAGTGTTGGGTTTGTGGGATTTTAGAAGCTTATTTCTTTTGGTATGGACTGCGTGTGTGGTTTCTTGTGGATGTGGAATTCCTAATCGTAACTCTTCGTTTTTTCTTCATTAACAATCTCTTGTTTTGTATCCAAGAAAAAAGCTACATGGATATCCAATGTATACAAAGCAACAATGCTAAAACTAAATCCCTCATTTCACCTAAAAATTAAAAACTCCCAAGAGAAACCATTCACAAGCAAACCCCTTCACCTAAACCCAAATTACAGAAAGTCCGCAAAGAAAAACCTTCAACATGATTTTAGAAGCGACAAGAAGATTTGGAAGGCCAAGTACCAACAAACACATTATGCTACCTGATAACTCATAACTTTTTACCAAAATAATTACAAGAAGCCAGTTTACTTGCAAATTTGCAATTTACACATCACCATCCTTGCCTTAATCCCATATGAATGGAGTCGGCCACATGAATTCTCTCTCTCCACTCATTCCTATTACATGTCATTCCCCCACCATGTTTAACTTTTTAAAGTCATTTTTAATAACCTCATCCCATATTATTTCAGGTCCCTCTCTCCGTCTCTTAACTTCTATCACAACTAGTCTTTCCCGGGGCTTCTCTAGGTTTTCGATACATGTGTCCAAATCATCTCAAGTCTACTCTAATTTTCTCACCGATGGGTGCTACCGTGCTACACCTAATTTTTTGCTCACACTCTCATTAGTGACATTTGTAATTTACACAATTGGTGCTGTAAGTCTGTCCATGGAAGAGCACACTGAAAATTTCTGTAGTTTGGTTACGAGATTGGGATATGTGTCCGATTAGAATAAAATTCACAAATGTCTTCAAGTTTAGGTGCAAGTAGACTGTAGATTTTACACTACAACAGCTGAAATTCAAGTGGCATACCAGAGGGAAGAAGAGAAAAGAAAGAAGACTTTGTTAAAGCTTCAACAGGACATACAAAGCATATTAACTATCAGTGATCTTTCCTGGATGCAAGGAAAGGTAGGTCCAACAACAATTCATAAGTTCTTAAGTTTTCAACAACAAGATTTCTAATGCTAGGATTCTAGCAAAGGCTAAAAGAGTCTAAAGAATCACAACTCAAAGAAGATATTTATATTCCCCTCAATGCCAATTTTGAAGCCACACTAGATTGTCTAAACGAAGAATTTGTCGATGCCATTTCTCCTTCTTTTGCAACTAGTAAGCAAGATAATAAAACAAATGATGAGCTTTATCTTATCATAGAGGAAAAATCTTTTAAAAAGTTTAATTGTGGAGGACAAAAATGCTCTCTGTTGATAGACGCTGCGAGGTGTACTCATTTACACTTAGAGGAACCTATAAATAAAGCGTGTTTTAAGGTTGAGACACGCCTAGAGCGATTTCACGAGCATGAATCACTAATACCTTGTTGAAAGAGTGAAAGTTAACAAACAGTAACTAGGAAAAAAAGAAGTTAACAAACAGTATCCAGTGACGTTCACTACTGGAGAGATTAAGGAAACAGTTAGGTGCATGAGATGATCTGAATTCTAATACTGTATTTTGAGTTGCACACTCTTTTTTTTTTTTTTGTACTGTCTGCCGTTCTGAACTATATTTTGTGTGCCACACATGCAAATAGACTACCATATAACTATGGACTTGGGTAATCAAATACTTCGATCTGCTAGACTATTATTATCGATTAGAAATATGCTCTGATACAATAAACTTGAGGTTTTACAAATTTTCAACCCAATTAATTATTCTAGTAATAACAAGGAATTGTAAGAAGAAGGAAAGAGGAACATCTGGGAAAAAATCTCTTTTGACTGAGGTAGGCGTAGGCATAGGCTCCTTTCATGATTTAGAAAAACATATCTTTAAAAGACCACGTGGAGTGGAAAAAGAAATTTACAGAAAGCATTATTTGTTTCAATTTCAACATCATAAGTAACCATATTCTTCTCACCTTTATTTCCATTTGACGCTTCTTTAGCTCGTCAAGAGATAGGCGTTCAACATCTTGTGCTGTTTCCTTCAACTTTGACGGATCAGAATGCCCTGGTCCAATTGCAAGAAAGAAAATCAATTTTAATACAAGGATATAGAATATTTCATTATACAACTAGCTTTTATGAATTAGTATCTCGACAAAGTAATTGTTGTCCACAAAGGGAAAGATAAAAAGGTGACCTTAAAAACTTATAAATAAATAAATGAAGCTGCCATCACTCATCAGGAAAATGGAGAAAGTGGACCTAGTCATCATTATATCTGAATACCCAATGATGCATTTCATAAGATGCTCAAGGAAAAAAAAATTTAAAAAGTGTAGATAGATTCTACAAAATTTGGTTTGGTCTCAATCTGTGACCTCTTGGAATTAAGTATTAGTTTGATTTAGCTTCTTGTAGTTTAGTGTTTTTTTTTTTTTTTTTTTTTTTTCTAATTTTGCTGGAAAAGAGCTGCAGTGTGGTCATCGTATTCTTAGTCAAGCTGTGTATTGGGCTCTCATTTCCAGACTTCAGTAGTTTTATTGGGTTTTTATAGAGTCGAATAACTGCAAAGTTTGACAGTAAGAATCTATGTATAGTTTTATGTGAAGCTTTGAATTCAAGGGAGAACAAGATTATAGCATTTTCCCGGTACAATGGCATTCAAACAGCTATAGTTGAGATGATGCTTCATCAAATGATACTTCTATTTACAGATCTACTCAAGTAACATCAAATGCTTCATCATCATTGACATATAATTCTCCTTCCACTAACCCGACCACGATAATAATATGAACAATCGGTAGTTCACACTCTTTGATGAACATTCAGCTAACTTAACCAACACATAATCCTAACGGTGCCAACCAAAATAACTCACCTAAGATATTAAATCAACCACTTTTCCATAACTCCACTGAAACAGTTTTATCAATTTGTAATCAATATATACTTGTCACTACTTTACAATAAGATAAACACAAACTCATTACTTGTGACTGGCCAACACAGAATTGTAAATCAATTAAATTAAACTTTTCTCTATAAAATTGATTAAAAAATTGGTGCCAACCAAAATTACTCACCAAAGCTATTAAATCAACCACTTTTACATAGCCCCACTAAAACAGTTCCATCAATTTTTACTATCACTACTTCACAATAAGATAAGCACAAGCTCAATACTTATTAGTAGCCAAAACAGAATAGAAAATCAACAAAATCAAACTTCTATCGATAAATTACTAATTAGAAGTACATATTTAATTACCCATTATAGAATTTGAAAGAATTAGGTACTTCACCTATTGCCCACTGTAACATTCCGTCGAGGGAAGAAAACCCGCCGTCGAAATCATCTTTGTCGTTCAACGCCGCCGTGGATTCCTCCGCCTCCGCCTTCCTAAGCAGATCTCCCTCCTCCTTTGCGCTGGACCAAAATAGCCCTCCGGAAGACGACTTATTTACCTTTTCTGCCCTCGCAACGGCTATTGCCATGAACACCGTCGCCAAGATCAACAGTCCAACCAAGACTCTCTGTCCCATCCCAAAAAATCACAAACCCAGAAAATATAATCTATATATGTGTATATGTATGTGGTGTATATGCGTAACGACTTAAACAGGCAAAATATGAGATTCTCGGTTCTAAGAACAGAGGACCGGAGAGAGGAGAGAGGAGAGAGGAGAGGAGAGAGAGAGATGGAGACAGCAAAGGAATGAGTATGAGAGAGAAAGTGTGAAGCCACCACACGCTTTCGTCCTTTTAGTGTACTGCTATAATTGTGTGGAATTATTAGATTTACTGAAAACTCCAATAATTAAACAATATATGGTTTATAAATTAGAACTGTGTTGATTAGTCGACGGAGATCATACATGGGGTCTACTTAATATTTAAAATTCATAAAAAAAAATAATAAATAAATAAATTAGTCGATAAACTACTAGGGATTAGTCAATTACAATATTTAAAATGCATAAACAAATATAAATAAATAAATATATATATATATATATATATAGTTAGTTAGTTGATAAACTATTAGTGGTTAGTAATTTACAATTATTACCAATCTGTGATGTCATTTAACCAATTGGTTTTCTGGTCTTTATATTAGTAATATTAAGTTTAAAAATATCTGGAGATGGCTCATCAAAGCATAAATAGTATCTCTCCTGCAAATGAATTGAGCAACTTAGAGTTTGTTCAGAAGTAGTTTGTAGAATTACAATTCAAAAAGGTTGAAGGTTAACATGAATTCCAGTTCAAGATATAATCTTCAACCTCAATCGAGAACAACCGAACCCTCAATCGCTCAATCCAATAGATTCAAACTAGCACATTTTTCTTAATTTAAATTAAACTTGAATTAGATCGTTTAAGTTCGCGTTGATTGGTTGGCCTAATTATGGATTATTTTCTCTCTTAGGTTGAGATTACTTATTTTTTAACAAGAATATTATTGCTAAGGTTTTGGGCTTGGACTAAGTTTTCTTTATGGTGCTAATGGACTTTTTAAAAAAGTTCTGGGCTGGCACATCAAATTGTACGGGCTGATAAAACCGGATGTAATTGATCTTAAAATCATTTTTTTATAGGAGGTCTTCAGAGTTTGTAGTTCGGTTCATTTACGAATTGAGTCTTAAACATGAGATCCAGATAAATGTTTGCCCAAACTTTTAACGATTTGAATCCGAAATCCGACATGTCTACGAATAATTCGAGAAATAATTTATTATATGATTTTCGAATTAATTATCGAGTCAAAAATGTGTAAACTATAATTAACTTTTTACTGATGTGTCACATGATAATTCAACAAATGAGGCAAAAATGTTTAATTCTAGAAATATAAAAAAAAAATTCATATTTTATTGCCTTGAAAGTCGCTTGCCTTGTCGAATTATATCAAGATTTCACTTCTACAATTACGAAATATAATCAATGGGAATGGCTGATTTGTGTATGCTATAATTAACTTTTTACTGTTATGTCAGATGATAATTGGCCGAAATTAATGATAGGACCATATAATAATTTCTCGAATAAATCTATTATTTGCAATGATAAATAACAGATTTACTAATAGGTCAATAGCCTAGAAGTAACAGACTCTTACTTCTTAAAGGAAGGTTAAGAGTTCGAGCCTAATATATTCAAAGCATTTAAGTTTTTACCTGTACAATTGCTTAATTACTTTAATTTTTATTTTATATAATTTTGATATATTACCGTTTGATTAATGGCATCACGTGTCAAAAATTTGTTTCGTTTAGTAACAAGAAACGTTTTTTTGTTTTCTGTTGTCAACTTTTAAAAAGGCAAAACGAAAATAAAAATCGCGTTCAATAAAATGTTTTTGTTTTTCTTATGTTTTCGGCACTGTAGCGCAGAAACGATTTCACTAATGTCAGTGCACAGGCACTATTCATTTTAAATAAAATTCATATTATTTGTATTATATACTACTAAGTTGCATATTAAATGTTAATAAAAATATATTTTTTTAATATAGAATAGATTAAATATTGTATATTATTTTTTATTTGATAAAAATATATTTTAATATCTAATGTATTAAATAATAATGTAAATTATTTTTTGTGATAAAATAATTTTTGATATATAATATAATGTTATTAAATTATTAGGCAGTATATATTTTATATTATTATATATCATATCTATATTATATTATATGTAAACATTAAATTATAATTAATTTACAATATTATAACACAATATATATTTTATTACATATAAGATATATTATTTAATATTTTTTATTCATAATAAATTATCATATGCTAAATATATTATATATCACATAATAAATGTATACATCATGCATATACATGTATTTATATACATAATTGGTGGGAATATTTTTGTCTTGGTATATCTAATTTTGTATTGGGTATTTTTAAGATTTATAATCTTAAATTAGATTTTCTAGATTTATGTTTTTTTGGTATTAATGGAAACAAGTGTCGTGTCTGAGTAGTTGGATTGCTCCATGTGTCTGAGAGTTCGTGTTTAAGTCATCTACCCTCTCTCTTACCCTTCCCTCTAATCACTAACTCCTAAAATTCTTGCCATGAAAAAAATAAAATAGAAATGAAAAAAATAAAAATTAAAGTTAAAAAATTAAAAAATATTATGTAAATTTTGTAACAAATATGTTGTATTACTGAACACTTGTTTTATGTTTTCAAATTTGTGACAATAATATGTATTAATAAACATCATTTCTATTTTCTATTTTCATTAAAGAAAGCAAAATTATGTTTCTACTTTCTTAAGATTGCAAAAACAGAAAACAAAAACGTTACTAAACACAATATTTTCCTGTTTTCCTTTGAATCCTCTTTTTGTTATTGATTTCTATATGACCAAAAGGAGCTGGAATTCACTTCTCTATGTCAAAATTCCAGTTCAATTGCTTGAGCTTGAGCTAACCATGAATTAATTATAAATCCGAAATAAATAAATTTAAAATCGTGGGAAAAGTTGACAGTTTTGGGTCCCCAAGACACAAAATCATTAGGGCATATTCATTGGAGCGTAAGGTTGTGGCAGTGAGTGGAGTCCATGGATGGGGATAGAGGTTAATTCGGAGATCTGATGGGGTAAATTCATCAGCCTCCCTTGCTGCATCAAATGCGATGGACCTTTCTCTGTTTTTCACTACTTCAACCCCAAACCAACTGGTAAATTCTTTCTTTTACCCCCATTTCTCTCTCTCTCTCTCTCTCTCTCTGTATATATATATATATATATATATATCTCATATCATGTGTAGTTGTATTTTTGTATGTGGAATCCATTATTTTGACGCCTAGTAGTATAACGGTTGCATGAAATGATAGCAAATTTTATACAAGCTTTGCGTCCACATTCAAAACAATAATGATAAATAAGGGTCTCAAGGGGCAAGCCATAAATTTGGACGTGTGAGTTTGAATGATATATATCGTCCTTTGCAGGCGAATGCACACATTCGAAATTTACCTTTCAGTTACAAGTCCAAAGAACCGGTGGTTGGAAGGGTTTCCGTTTCCTAAAAAAAATAAATAAATAAATAAGGATGAAAAATAATTCTCAAAAAGGAAAAAAAAAAAAGGATGAAAAATTGATATATATATATATATATATATATATATATATATATTGGGTGAGAGTGATAAATAAGCTTTGCGTCCACATTCGATTTAATTGTGTTGCAGTCTATATTGCAACACAATAATTTGAAGTGTAATACCGTTATTTCGAGCATTGAAATAATAATGTTGCACTTTAATTTGATGTGTTGAATGTGTAACCCACTATAAGTTCCTCAGCCTTTGCCAGACCTTGTCCCAGTCATATAAGTTCCATCAAACAAGGTCCACCCACCATTATACATCATGCGCCATTGACAAGAAAGTCAACAATGGTGTGGAAATTATAAAATTCAAGAATTTACTTCTTCATTGCCAACTGATAAGGTTCTCATCGTTTTCATTTCTAACCACTGAAACTCAACAAGAACAGATCACTGCATAAGCCTCTCACAAATTTGAAATGTATAAAGATAATTGGTTATGGTTATCTTGTCTCATCACACTTGCTGCAATTATCCTCATCCCCTTTCTTGTGTTCATTAAGAAGAAGACTAGGAACAATTCATTAGCACCTTTGAACACTTCTTTATTAAACACTTTTTTATATTTATTTTTTAATATAAAAAAATTATTAATCAATTTTAAAATAAAACTTTATCACATATAACCTCTATATTTACCTATTTATTATGAGTTTTTTAATAAAAAAAAATCTAATTAGACAAGGATATATATAATAAAATAAAATATTTTTTATAAAATAATTAAAAAATATATAAAAAGAAAAATTGAATAAGTTATGAAACATTCATCACGTGCATCACACATGTCTTTTACTAATGTGTGTATATATATTTAATTTTAAGGAGGTAGCATTAAATTTTTATAGATATATAATTTTTTTTAAAAAATACAATTGTATAATACTAAGAAAAGTGAGAGTGAGAATACAATAGTTCCAAAGTTTGAAATTGGAAGTCATTAAAACTTACCCATTTGAATCAACTTTTTAAAATTGAACATGTGTGTTTTATTTCTTATATACATGTACGATTATATCAATTTATTAAATAATGTACTATTTTATAGTGCAGTGAAAACTTTGTGAAGGAGATTATATAAGTTCCACGTCATGTCATGTAAGTTCCATCAAACAAGTCACGTGGTGACAAGTCAGTTACCCTTTTCAAAGCCAGAGGCCACCAACTTTAGTAGCAAAAAAAGGTGAGAGAATACCACCATGAGCAAACCTTGTCTCTCCATCCAACACCACCATGTTCAACTTTCCACCTCTAATCAGCCCTATCACCATCATCAACCTCAGCATTTCCAGTTCAAACAAAAGAAAACTTCACAACAGCAGTACAACCCTTTTACAAGTAAAAAACTATCCTCACCAAAACACAAGGCCAAAAATCATCTTCCCAACAGTTCAACCAAAAACCCTCACTCAATTATAACTCTCACTCTAATCATCACCTCCCCTCAATTAATAACCCCATTCCAAATCACCTTAAGTGTAATACCCCTAATTTTAAAAGGATAGTTTCGGTATTTTATTAATTATTTTAATTGTGTTTTTAATTCTTTATTTGATTTCTTGGCTATTTATTTAATTGTTTATATGAATTAATTGATAATATGTTTAT